GTGATACATGACTTTCCATGAAGATATATAGTACTGCAGACTTTCAAAGAGCTAGACTGAGGCTGTTGACCATATTTCTTTAGACTTACACTAAAATTAGAGTATGTGAAGGAAGTAGGCAATTGGCAGAATTGGTCTTTCCACCACATAAGATCTATATCTTGGGAAAAGCATGTTTTGTGGAACAAAACTCTAATGCATTTACCATCTGCTTGGAGCTCTTTAAATTCACACTAATAATCTGCAAATTCAGTAATTCACACACACAAACTGGTATTCTGTTTTCACATTTCAGAAAACATTTAATGTGTGGTGTTTTAACATTTCTAGGCTTCATTGCTTTTACCAAGTGCACTGTATAACACCATCGCTATGCTGTGAAATGTTCTCAAAAGTAATGATAACTGCACTATGTTTGTAGAGATGTGCAAGGTATCTTTTATATAAGGAGAAGAGACGTTGCTTCTTATTCCTTAATCTATTTATTCCTTAATTAGGGAAATGAGCATCTTTTAACAGACCTGCTAACCATTACTAGGAACCACAAAGATTCTAATAGAAGGAGAAATCAAGCTACAGAAATCTGGAGGCACCCATTTCAGAGCTCACGATGAGAGAAATAGATAAAGCAGGTCAGGTCTCTGTGTCTGTTCCTAGAGGAGCAATCCCCAAGCACACACTAGCAGCGTGGTGCATTCACTCAGCTCTTCTTTAGGACTGCCACACTCAGTGGTTTCAAACACCTCTGGGGAGCAGGTCACCACTAGCGCTGCATGAGCAACGGAGGAAAGGAGCAGTAATACATTAACACCTGAGTTTGCTCATGGAGAAAACGTGGAAAGGCTGAACCTTCTCCAGAGCCAGGTTCCATTTGGCTCAGCAGCGAGCTGGGCAAAGAAGTCAAACAAGGTTCAAATGCATGCTAGGTTAAGGTAGGGGTATGGAACAGCCTTTAGGAGAGTCTAGTGAGATTAATTATCCTCTTCACATAGAGCAAGAATTCTTTGGTGTTATTTTCTCCAGATGCCCCAACATGCAGATAGAGCGACCTCGGTGTTGTGGTGGAGGCTGACCTTATAGGAAATGTGCTGCATGTTTGGGAGGCTCTGTGCCCGTAGGAACAAAACACCACTTGTATGGGGTGATTCCTTAGGGCTGAAGTGCCTTCCCTCAGCGTTGGGCATCTTCTGCAGATTGCTTTATATGTGAGCCGTGACAGCACAGCTTGGTAAGTACCTGCTTTCAACGTATTTCAAGGTGTCGGGGGATACACAATGTCCCTGGCCAGGCTTTGATGGCTTCTAAATGGCCCTGGGCAAAATCAAGCAACTGCTGTTCTCTATGGGCAGGACTGTGTACTTTCCCATGTGCTCTGTAGGAAAAGAAAACAAACCAGTTTTTACACTGGTACTTTGGCTGTGGAGACCACAGAAGGAGAGAACTATCAAATTGCTTTTCCTCAGGTCACAAGCAGGTTAAGTTCCAGAGGAAAAGTAGTACCATCACAGATAAGCCAAAAATGCTGCATCTTGATGAGTTACGGCATTCTTGTCTGGCTGGTACAATACAAGAGTTCAGAAATAAGTGGTAGCAATTTGGTATTTTAATTAGCACAATTGTAGAAAATGCTACTTGGCAAGTATCCAATATTATGTCTAACAGACTAAGCATTTGTCTGCCACAGACCTCCTTTGTATGACAAAGCAATAAATAGACATGATGTTACTTTATATGGTATAAGAGTGTCACCTTGTGAAAAAGGTAAGTGATGAAAACACAAAGTTAAAGTTGGCAAAGATAAAACAACAGGATATGTTAAGCAACAGCAGTGACCCAACTTCATGAATAGCAGTATTCTGACTTGTAATAAAATCTTATGGTATTGTTTATATGTGCACAAAACACACTTTTAGTGAAATGTATATTCTTTTATGTTCTCTCCTACAAAACTGTACAAAAGAGAAATTAGTGCCGTCTTACTACCCAAAGCCAGAAAAGTGCAGACACAAAGACTGAAAAGAAGCCTTGGCTCGTTCAGCCTTGACTCATCACCCCTTTCAAAATTATACACTGCAACGTTAGCACCAGCATCTGACCTCGGGGGTCCTGAATACCCGCTGTGCTGCTCAGGGGCCCTATCCCACGAGAGAATAGCCCATTGCCAACCTACTCTGAGTGCTGAGAATGTTTCCCAATATGAAGCGTAAATAATTTCTTCTTTCAGGACAGCATTGCTTACTGCACCAGGGTGACTACTTTCTGTCTCCATTATTAATTTTCATTATTTATGGAATACTGTATCAGAATTACTGTTATGGCTTTCAGTTTAATTCCTTTAGTCCCTCGCATTTGTTACCATCAGATGTTTTTCTGATGTTTTCCCCTTCCTTTTGCTATATAACTTTTAAATATAATGCCAGAATAGTTTGATTTTTACACGACATACCCTGAAGAGTGGAATGATTGAATAGAATAAATTTGTTTAGAGGTAACTTAGCACCCTCTGGTGTATCGTTAATGTACTGCAAATTTTCTTTAAGATTTAAAGGAAGGCAACTCATCACAAGGCAAGAACAATTTAATGAGATGCATGTCCAGGGAAGAATATAGAGATTTTTGTACTTAATGTCAAGTAGAGGCTTTTTTTTTTTCTCCTCCTCTTAAAGAAAGAATTACAGCGTTAAATATTTTCAACATTATTTTGTTTCATACAAATTATAAAAGCACTGAACCTGGCATGTTTAATTCTTCATGTGGCTTTTATTATCTAGAATTTAATTTTGTTAGTAATTATTTTTATAATATATCAGACTCAAATTTAAGTTTTGGAAATGTCACATGTTGGTCACTTAATTGGTTTGCATGATTGAAATTTTCACTCTACCTGAGCAGGGAAAGAAGATGCGATGACTTGAAGACATTTCTTACTCAAGACATTACTCATGACATTTCTTTTTAATTCACTCAAATTATATTTTTTTTCCTTTATAATACATTTCAAAGCTTCAAAATCTCCAAAGATGAGAAGATAAGTGTTATTTTGTTTTTTTCATTTTTTTTGTTTTTCAGAATTAGACTGTAGACATAAGTAGATTACTGGAGTCAGTAAAATTGTTGTTAAAGTTGTGTGGAAACAACTGGAGTGAGCAGCACTATGCACTATAAATAAACCCTAGATATTTCAACAAATACTAGATATTTCAGTAAATAAAGCCTAGGAATTTTAAATGAGTGTAAAATCAAAATTTAGCAATCAAAAATGGTATATTCTGGCCTTGCTGTCCTAGATGAATCACTTTGCAATATGATAAAATAGAAAATAGAAAGAATGTCTTCTTGCAATCTAAACAAATTTGACAGGAAAACTTTTGAAAAACTATTCGTATGGAAGATGGCAATTATATTTTACTAAACTCATTTTTTCAGCTAGTGCAGCTCGTTTTGAACTACAGAAAAGTAGGAATTCATTAAAAGATTACAGATAGTTATCTTTACAATAGGCACTATTTATATATATACACACACACACACATATATATTTATTTATGCCTTTCTAAAACTATATTTCAAACTAAAATTCTGCTTGAAAAATAATTTACTTAGAAATCTCGTCTTTGAAGCATAAAGTTGGAGAGAAGAAGAAAACACACCATTTTTTCCTTAGTAAAAAGTACTAACAATTACTCTTTTATAACGGGTTTACATTTAAATAAGGAAAATATGAAGCTTAAAATTTGCTATGGAATCTCTTACTCCCATAACATTCATAAAGTAGATGTTTCCTCACCTAGTTAACACTTGATCAACACATCCACCTGTTCAAACTCAACACGATAGGTAGCCTGATGGAAGATATTAAATGATTAAATCAAATTCAGAGATGGTTAAAACTGTCATTCAATTCTCATTTTTCCAAATGATATATTCTTTTTGCCTCAGCAGAACTCCTTCATATTCCTCTTTCTGGTTTTCCTTTTGTTTTTTTTTTTTTCATTTTCCTTTTAGGTCAATCAAAACATATCTGCTCAAAAGAGAATGCTTGGAGGACTTGATTTCACATACAATCTTTAGCTTTAGTATGTTTAGAATAATTAGGGTAAAGTTAGGGCCAAAACAAAACAAAAATATTTTTCTTTCAAAATTTTCAAAATATTTAGGATTTCTGAAAAAACCCACAAATTAAAAAAATGCCACAAATTCATAAATATTTTCAACAGCCCTCCAGCTGCACATTTGCTGCCTCAGTCATACCAAGTTTTTGCTCAGACATGCACAATAATGGTGGGTATCTCAAAGAAAGATACTCTTAAAAGAAAAAGATGTCATTCTGGGACCCTACATTCAGAGACTCCATTCAGAACTATTTCTGAGGGAGATTAGGTAGCCTCCAACAGTTTTTTCACAGTTGTTTCTCCATTTCATCACATCCTGGGAAGAAATCACCGTTACCTAAATCAAATGGGAAGCAGTATAAATATTGCACTTATAAGCATGGCAGTGCTTGTTAGAATGTCATATATCACCAGTCTTTCAACAATGCAAATAAAAAGTGATCTACTGAAAAAAAAAAAAAACAGATCTGAAATCAAATACTCAGAAATTAAAATATATTTTAGGACTGGGGCCCATCTCTAATACCGTACAGACACAACCATTTATATACAGAGGTCTATGCATATGTAGCAATGAGTGTTCACTGAGTATATAAGTATCTTTCGTTGTAAGAGTTAATAAAGGCTGTTTATTTTTACAAATACACATTTTTACATTTTAAGCCAAAAAAACCCTGAAAATTACTACAGTATTTTGTACTCTTGTTTAAAACTATTATAGATGTTAATCAGCAATATCAGCAACATTTTAGACAGATTATTCAAGATGAATAGTCAGTTATGTACACCAGTTTGACATTTTATAGAAATTACAAGTACTCTGAGATCCAAAGACTGTGCAGGGCTTCTCCGGATGCATACTGAACAAAATCTATCACAGATGTTTGCTTATCTTTCTACTGAATGTCCTCCAAAATTAGTGGATCCTAGAATAACAAATACAGATAGAATTATTTTTAATAATACTAAAGGAAAATTTTACTCATATAAATACTTTTGAAATTTATTAAAAAAAAGAAAGAAAAATTATCAAAATCTAAAACTACAAAATATATTTTGATACAAATTTTTGTACAGCTGTTTTTAGCAATTGAAATATGCTTCTCTATATTTCTATAAAAGAATTAAACTTCAATTTCTTTAAAAAAATTGTTCTATTTTTGTGTTTTGGGTGCACAGGTGAATGTCAAAGTAAATGCTATTACTTTGATATAAACTGCAACTAATTTATAAAGCTATAGCTGAAATCAGATCAATAGTTAAGTTCAATACTGCTGCTTTTTTCTGCTTACTTAGATTTCTACTACAGAATTTAACTGGTTCATATATTATATCACATGCTATATCTCTGTCCAGAAACTGCCACATGCAAAATATCATGTAAGCTTTGACAAGCTATAAGCATTCAAAATTTGAAAATGACCGAATTTCTTAAAAATATCTTCATTTTGCTTTCACTAGGGTAGTTCATACCTACAGAACAGCCTAGCTATAAACTCCAACCTGCTTGAGTTGTGTTGCTATTGGAGTAGAAAAGTCACTTTTGTAAATGAAGACTAAGACATTTAATCTGAAGACATTTAATCTAAAATTTTACTTTCACTTTTAATATAAAGTTTGCAATATGAAGACTCAATCTGCCTCAGTGAAATTCCTGCCCTGCCCACACACGCCTCTTGGGCTGGTCTCTGTGCAGCTACTTTTGTTAGTTCTATGCTGCAGCCATTACCCTGGAGTAGCGCTCTCTCTGTGTTCACTTGGGGATATTTGTGTTAGTGTCTTGGTGACAGATGCATAAGAAATATGAGTTTGAAACAGAAATTTTGATAAATGAGGGAACAATACTAAGACTGAAAGTTCAAGGGATAGGGAAGATTGCTACTAAAGAGAATGATGAGATAAAAACAAACAATAACAGAAGAAATAAAACTAATATAGTACAGAACACAGGAAAAAAGACTAGATATAAATAAGCATATAAAATCATCTAATTCTTTTCTTCCAAACTGCAAAGATGCAGAGCATGCAGAGAAGTATCATGAAATATCTAACAGAAATTATACAATAGGTAAATAATATTAGAAAATAAAATGTTTTTGTCATTTTCAATTTTATTTTCATAATTTCTTTACTCTTTGGTCTAAGTCTGTTTGTTGCAAATATCAGAGCTTCTCTTTTCTACTTTTCTTGCTTCTCTGGAAAAACAGACTGTAGTAACCTCTTATCTTTTTCTTTTGATTCATCCTAGTCCCTTTTCTACCCAAATATCCTGCATTCTTATAGCCATTTTTCATCATTTTTTACTCTGATTCCTCTACAGCCTTTGTTTTATAGCATACATTTTTCTGCATTCCTTTTCTTCTCCTAACTCTTTTAATATCTTCACCCTTCTTTTCCGTTCCTGAATGCCCTTCCTCCTTTTTCTGTCTTGTCTGTTCATTCTCTATTCCTTGTTTACTTCAAGAGGAGTTTGCTTATTTGTTCGTTTCCATTATTTTTTCCCAATTTCCTAATAACTAGATCACTAATACTGTACTTGTTACATTCAAATACTGCAGTTTACTTTTACCTTTCTTTTTCTTCACTGGACAGTGAGAGGTCTATTGTCATTCTCTTTCTACAACACTCCATGTATTCATGCAGGAACTGTTTCAGGTTCATTCTTTTCATTATAGACTATTCTTTCATTCTTTCCCATATAACCCACCATTCTTATTCCTTAATAACAGTCCTTATTAAAGGACTCCTGTTGACTATCTCAGTGTTATCTGTGTTCATTACTCCTTACTTCCAGCTGAAATACTGTGACTTACTATGACTCCCACTGAGTTTACTTCTTCCATTAATTGTTTTCTGTTCTCCATTCTTTACTTTTAAGAATTGTTGGAAGATTAGTTTTTGCCAAATTATTATATGCTTTGCATTGTTCAGAATTGCTAGGAATTTGTTAGAAAACAATAACTTAAATTGATGGATTTAAATCTTTGTTAAAATACTGTGAGAAGTGAAGCTAGAACATGTCATAGCAGATATTCTATTGTACAGATGGAAAATATTAAATAATGCTAATAAACCACATTCTCTTTCCAATTTTGATACTTTGCTTCCAGTTCTCAAATATAATTTCTACGCTACATGATTTGTTTCTCTGAACACCAGCAAATACACAACAACCATATCTTATGCTGAAAATTTTTCACTAAAGAATGTCAAATACTTGCCTAAATGTTGTCTCTGCAGAATACCAGGGATGGTGATGGGATGTCTTGTTGCAGATGACTGTGAGGAAGGTGGTGTAAATGGATACACCTGAGGTGTTCTGAAGTCAGAAGTCCATGACCCCATTCTACTACTTTGTGATCTGGATGACGATGTGAGTTGAAATTCATTATGTGGTAGTCTTATAGGTGTGGATCTATTAGTGAAATTAGTTTCTGAGTAAGATTTGAAGCTACTTTCATACTACAAGAGACTTCAAAGTTTTAAATCACAATACTATCATACTAAAATAAAAAATTATGAAATGTTATGTTTTACAGATTCTTTACTCATCAAATATTTACTTTCTTAGAATTTTACACATTCTAAACAGCAGAAGAAAAAGAAAATATGAGAAGATGGAAAAGATTTTTTAAAATTTATTTTTAATTCATGATAAGAATTTATATTGTTCTTTATGATTATAGAAAACATGAGTTTATATTTTCTGGATCCATTTAAAAGTTTTTCTTCATGTTGATATTTTTCACAAACTGAGACCTTTTCAATGTCTAGACAAAAAGCCTGAGAGAGATGTTGCTACACAGTGCAAGATACTCAGGTCACTCAGAGAAAAGCTCTCTAGGCAATTTCTCAGTAAAATGTTAGTGATACTGTGATGCAATCTCTGACTTTCTTTTAAAAGAAACATAAAGAGACATTTTACTTTCTAAATAAAAATTTACCACACTTATATAAAAGTACTGTGTCTGTGGATGTATGCAACTACAAGAACTTAGACTACCTTTGAATGTTTTCAAGCAAGTAATTTCAAAATGTAATCTTCAAGCAATAAAAAGCACATTCATACAGGTGATAGTTAGCTTGCACAATAACATTTCTTCTTTAGAAAGACAGATACAGAAGATAGTCTCTAAATGTACGGATTCATTGCCTTTGAATGTACAGATTCATTGAGGCCAGGCAAAAGCTAAATTTAAGTTTAACTCTCCAATAAAAGACTGTAACATCTTGAAAAGCATGAGCTGGATTTAATTACCTTGTAGATCCTGCTTTACTGTTTTGACTTGACATTATTCCAGATGGCTGAGAACTTCTGTAAGATACACTACCTGTAAGAATTACATTTTTTGAATATAGTATTAAAATGAATTATCCATTTTACTTAAGAGATGTTTTCCTTTGGAAACAAGGATAGGCACCTTAACTGCATTTTATGGATCAAATTTATTATCAGTTAATTCAAGCATGAAAAAACGTGGACAATAACAATAGAAAATGAAAGATAAGAGATTAACTGACAAAATAAAATCCTCCTAACACTTGAGGAAAGATCAAAATAGCCTTAAAAATGAATAATGCTTTTGAGGATTTAGCAAAGACAAGACAACTGCTAAGGCAGCATTTGTTTTCCAGTATCTCTGGCTAGAAGAAGTCTGGCAGAAGTGAAAGCTCTCATAATTCCTCAGCAGCTCTCCAACAGAAGGTAATGGTGAAAAATGGACTTAAATTTCAACAGATTAATCTCCACATAGAGCTTAGATGTCAAAAAAATCCCATAATATTGTACCACTCCTGCAAATCTTTTCCAAGATTGATATGGATAGGTTAGTTTCTTTCACCTGCTCTCACTTATAAGAATATTAAGGTAGCTCAGGTGCTTTAGTTCTTCAGTTGTTTTTTTTTTTCCCTGCCTTATCGATCTCCTTTAAAGAAGCTTTACCTGATGTACCAATAAACCATTGTTTGTACCGACTCTTGCTTTTATAAATATGAAATCTATTACCCGACTGTGCTTTGATTCATTCACCTTTGAACACTTCATTTATGGGCTGATTCTGAAATAAGCTGAGCATATAACTGTTTTACATATAATTCCCCTATCTGATTACATATCTATTTATATTCAGTCAAAATGGAAAAAAAAAACCTAGACCACAGCTATCTTGTTATCCATAAATTTATATGCAAAATTGCATTTAAAAAGATCTGAACAGAAAAATCAGACATAGCATGGAAAATAGCCAACATAATAAGTAAAAAATACTTTTTTCTATATTACAGAATCACAGAATGGTTGAGTTTGGAAGGAATCTCTGGAGATCATCTAGTCCAATGCTCCTGCTTCAGTAGGGTCACCTACAGCAGGTTGCCCAGAGTCCTGTTCAGATAGTATTTGAATATCTCCAAGGATGGAAACTTCACAACACCCTCCGACAAAAATTCATTACACTATGTGCATTACAATTGTAATTATCCCTGTTCCAGGATTTTTATACAATGTAAAAACATAAGAGTGCTAAAAGCTCCATTTTTTGCCTGGAGATAGATCCTCTTAACTACTGAATCCAGTTGTAAGTTTGCCTGATCATCTATTGGTATAGGAGCATGCTAAATGGAAAAAGAGAATGGATGCCCATGACTGCTTTACCTATGGATCACTGGAAATACTGTGAAACTCTTCATAAATAAGGAATGCACATAGGTTCAAATGGCTGTCATGCCTGTTCGAGTGGCTGCCTTTTCTTCAGAGAGCTACTCTAGCTCTATTACAATTCAGTACTGAAAGGCAGTCAGATAGATAATATGTCTCATACCCTAATAAAGTGAGTAAACTCTCTTCCTTAAGAAATACTTGATCTCAGATGAATTACCCTACAATTCTTATCAATAATTGTTTTAACTTCCATTCAATTTTCCCTTATTTTCTCATCTATTATTTAAAATTATTTTTATGGACAGCATTAATCTCTGATAATGATATAAACATGAAGACTAACGGAGAGCCAAGAACAGGTACTGCCAGTACATATGTTATGTTCTACCATATATCAGTACGGCATTTTCTTTGCAATTGTTCACTATGGCTACTCAGCAAACATCATTTTAGCTACAAGAAATGATCCATAGGACAGAGCAGGTAAATATGGACATTTATTTTATTCTTCACTTTTAACCATTTCTCATCAGCTAGACCAAGTCTACATAAATTCCTTACATTTCAAGACAATCCAAGCTTGTTCACTAAAATGATAAATCATGGATTTTAAATTTGAAATATTCTTAAAGTAACATACATTTTATCCATTAAATAATAAGTAAAAAGTAATTTATATTTTATTTTTACTTACCCATACGTCCACCTTGGGGTGGAGATATTAGTGATAGTCTTGTTGGACCAGTCACTGTCTCAGGCTAAATGAATGGCAAAGCATTAATTACAGTATAGTAATTGCCAAAATTAGTAACATATTTTAAGCAATAGTCTTCTACAAGGAATACCAAACCAGCTGATTTTGGGCTTTATCCGTTGCAAGACATTCAAGGAAGGGTTGCCCTTGGGAGAAAGAAATCTCCTAGACCACCATTGTGCATTGCTAACTTCCAAATTATCCTCTCCAGGTTTGTTCATAGCATTAAAATGCAAAACTGTAGAATTCAGATACTGTTTTTTCACAGATACACAGAGAGAAAAAAATACATGTTCTTGAGTTTTACATGAAAACCTTTGGCATATTACCTTTCTGTCAGATAAACAAAGTATTATATGCTTACACCATTTATTGTGCTAGGATTCCATCCTTAGGAAATCTTATTTTCCTGATTTTTACCTATCCTGACCAGAGAAGAATTCCTTCCTCCATTTTCATTTAGAGCTTAAAATGTCGGTTTTTAATACTGCCCCTTAAACAGATGATTGCTACCATTTAGCTTTTTCTTAATATCTGAAGATGTTATTCACACATTGATGCCCCTGGACATAGTCAGAGCATCATCATGCAGTCAAGGAGCAAATAAAATTCTTTATGAAAGGTGAAAACTAATGACTGGGTGACTAGCTTAGATCTGCACTGCAGACAGCTACCCGATGTTGGATGCAGGTGGGAATCTTATGATATACTTCCATTCTTTAATATATTTGACTTTTAAATTTAATCTTCAATCTCAGTTGCAAGCAATACAGACATTTATTCTGGAAAAAGCTACAATATTCTTATGTAAATATACTTGGAACTCAAGAACTTTATAACTTGTCCATGCCATAGGGAGAATCTAGAAATCAGTGTTCTGATTTATCTCTTACTAGTTCCTATTGGGAAATATTTGACTTCTACTAAGCATCAGCCATAGCTGAAATCATTGCGTATTTAAGAATTATTCTGAATGGGGGGAATATATTCTTCAAGTAATTAACTGGATAACCAAAAGCAAGGTTACTCACTTTCCTTATTGGTAAAGGTACAGGATCAATCTCCATTGACTCTCTTCTTACAACAAAAGTCAAAATAAGTGTGGCATAATAAAAGTAATGAATTCATTATAATGACAAAAATGCATTATACTCCCCAAGTTTAATTTGACTAATATGTAATTAATAATGCTTAATGAACAATACCTAAAAAAGCACTTAGCACCTGCTCCAAAAACCTCTAGAGGTGAAAAAAAAAAAGAAAAAAGAGAGAGATTTAGTAAGAATCTAGTAAACCAGATTCTAGTGATGATCTTGGTTTAGATTCTTATGGAGAAAGTTTTCTTTTTATGACTAATGCTGTTATACTTCTATTTAAGACAGAATAAACATGCATTTATCTTCACAGTAATGGCATTCTGAAATTATATTTTTAAATGAGTCAGCCATGGGTAAAGAAATCTGTTAGCCTGGACAAGCTATACATTTAATTTATTTTAAATTTAATGAGCACTGAATGACTAGTTAGGGTTGATCCTACCTAACTAGATAGCTAAAATGTCTGCACTAGTCATTTAGATTTTCTGCACAGTTCAAGGGAGGAAATACCATTGGAGCACATCTAGATAGTCTGTCCAAAATGTCTTTAGAAAGGTGTATCATGCCTTAGAGTTTTTTTGTTGTTTGATTTTTTTCCAGTGAATACCAAGGCAACCTATATCACTTGCTAATATGAAAATTAGAAAATCTAAAACCCTCCCCAGCTCTTTCATATCTATATAGTTTGCAAAATGGAACACAAAAATTAGGAAGCATAGTCATTTTAAATTCACTGCCAAAAGTATACATAGTCTACAAAATAAATGGTTTTATGTGAAAAAATAAGTATTTTATTATTGTAAGATTTTTACTGGAAATGAATGGTTTTGTACCTACATTTCAGAAGTGGAAGCATGACTAGGATGGAGAGAATATGAAGAATATCCATTCTGTTTTTTTGAAGGAACTGAAGTTAGCAATAAATGCAATATTAGAACATTGCTATATATGGTCACATATACATAGTTAATATTTTAAAGTAACACTTCTTACAGGAAAGTGGATTTCTACTTGTACTGGAAAATGCCTGTGGAGTAATTTGTTGAGGTGGTTTCATACTAAAAGTAAAACAAAAGGAACAACAGATACAGGTTAAAATCAGTTTAGTTAACTCATTTGTATAACTGGTCAGCAGAGCATAAGATCAAGGCATATTATTCATTAATAGTTTTCTACCATGTCACAGTTCACCATGAAGCAAACAGTGTACCTGATATACATCCATGCACAACAATGGCAATTTATGGTAACATTATACCAGAATGCCTAAAAAATCTTCCTTTTAAGGCGCATATTTTCCAAGCCTTAAAAATATAGTTTCCTACGGGAATGTTGGAGTATTTCTGCTATTCACCAACAGTTACAGAAACTGATACTTTTGCTAACAACCATTCGCTAGGCATTTGTGGAAAACCACTAGGTCAAACTGTTTTGGTAGATCTCTGAAAATCTGAAGTTCAGTTAAACCCTACAGCTGGTATAACTAAGATTCTATTTAGCTGAGTGGCAGATGAGGAAAAGGAAACAGGACAAAAATATATCAACTATGATAATCCAACTATGATAATTCCTCTCTACTCTGTCATCTTACATCAAGCACCTTAAGAGAGCATAATCCAGTATACTGTGTACATGACCCAGTCAGAGCAAAGTGCATATGAAAAAATAGAAAAGATATGATGACACAAGATGTTGCAATTAAATTGCTGGCTCAGTGGACTGGCTTATCAAGGACATTTTCTACTACTGGACTTCATAAAGTGACATTCATGGAGAAAGGCATCTCTTATGAAGATGCATCCATGGGGAGTAGTACATTCTAACTACATAGTAAGAATTCTGATAGCCTGGTACCAATTCTCACTAAAAGAAAGAAAAAAAAAAGGGGCCAAGGCCCTTAATTTTTATTCCAGCAGTTTCTGAAGTCTTAGAAAGGAGTATAAAATAGGATATAGAAGCAAACAGAAAAGAAAATGAATAATTTACCATAGGAGATCACATCAGATTTGATTTGACATTTTTTGTTTTGTTTTATTTTCTGGTAAGCGTATTTTTATATAGTCGTAAGATAGTGCATTTAATCTCTGTTAACTCCATCTAAGAATTAGGGTGCTGTACAGGTCACTTTAGTCTTTAAAGCGGAGATAAGAGGGAGTAATTCAGCTAACTATGATGTAAATAATGCTATAAGATAAACAACAACAACAACAAAGTTAAGAGAGTGCAGAAATGCTGTTACTGATGTCTCTTTCAGATTAGTTGTGCACTTGCTTCTATTCAGTATATTCCTTATTGATTTAGGCATAGGCAGCAGTTTGTGAAATTTGTAGACAGATTTAGAAAGTATCATCAACATGAAGGAGGATAAGATAATAATAATAAAAAAGTGATATTTTCAAATAAAATATTTGGAATAAAATGAAAGTTAATGAAAAGTAATAACATAAAGCACGGTTAGCGTCACCAATAAGAACTGGTATAAATTGGAAATTCAACAATGGCCAATAATAAAGAACAAAAAAGACTGAAATACATAAATCAATGAGGGGATAATAATAATAAGCTACCTCTTAGCACATTTGTGGAAAAGAGTATTTTGGGATGATTTGGATAGCTTATTTTTGCTACACAAGGGAGATTACAATCATTTTACAAAACTTTGGTAATTTGGCAAGTAGGCTAGTTATAGATACACTACGAAAGATATCGTGAACCTTCTAACCTCATGCTCAAAAGCTTGATAAAGAGCAGACCAAGTTGGTGTCAATGTAAACTAAAATTCTAAAACTGTATATGCCTTCATGTGCTTAATCCATCATAATAAATACCACCTGCTGTAAGTTCATTTTTAGAGTAATTACTGGTTTGATTTTTTATAAAAAGTATTATTTCTGGACAAGCTTGATCAACATGAAGAAATTGATCTGATGCCAAGAAACATTATTTCCATAAAGTTAAAAATAAAGTTCATTTATTTATAATTTATAACATACATATAATTTATAATAACAATAAATAATATTTATAATATCAAAGAAATAGCAAAGCATGATTTTTATCATTTTCTCAATTAGCCCAGATGTAATCTGATTATGAACAATGCTTGTTTATTTCTGCCAAATTAAACCTCTTACCGTTGTATCTGATGCAATTGTTGCGTTGCTTTCTTGAGAGATTCTTCCAATTTCAGTATCTGTGACATAATCAGAGATTTAAATAAACTCTATTTTTCATTTACATATACCTAGTACTCTAAACTGTTGAAAGGACTTGTGTTTCGCTGGTTTTAATCTTGGATATCATTGCCATTTCAGATTTATTGTTAGATAAAAAGTGGCAAGCCTGTAGCAGTGAGGGTGACAGAGCCCTGGAACAGGCTGCCCAGAGAGGTTGTGGAGTCTCCTTCTCTGAAGATCTTCAAGGCCCACCTGGACGCAGTCCTGTGCCACGTGCTCTAGGTGACCCTGCGTGTGCAGGGGGGTTGGACTAGATGATCCCTAGAGGTCCCTTCCAACCTTAAGGATTCTATGACTTTATGAAAAGCGGCAAGCCTGTAGCTTTTACATGGATCATTATACTCTGGTAATACAGGACATATAGACAGCACTTAAAAATAGTTTACTTCTGTTTGTCATCTTTTCCAAATGGCCATATGGCCATAAAAATACAGATTAAAGGCTCAACTAGCCCAGTATTCTGTTTGGCCCAGAGCAAACCTACGGACCACCGCCCTAATACTCTCCCACTTTTTTTTTTTCATTTCAGAGGATTTATGGAGACTCTTGCAATCTTGCAATAAAATAATCTAATAAAAAAAAAATGTCTAATAGATCTGCCTTGAAAGAACTTCTTCCATACAACATTGACTTGAGAAGGCAGCAGTGTAGACTAAATGCCTCCAGGCAGGGGCCAAGCTCCAGGAAAACACATTTCTGAAGCAACATAATGATCTCAAAAGTCCCAGAAGATTTATTTTTTTCCCAATAAGAGTTAGGTCTGATCAAGAGAGTGGCTAGCGGAAATGTCAGGAACAATGTACTTTGTCATGCCTCTCTCTCGGACTGATGATTTTAAGGCCCAAATCCTTAAAGCAAGTGAAAAACTATTTCTTTCTTAATATTTCTAGGTCCTAGCACAAATGTGGAGACTGAACTCTTCAGAAATATGAACAGCAAATGTCCAGACCACAAATCATCATCCACATCTCAGTATCTCTGCAAGTCATGGAAAGAGCAACAAAGAAGCATTTCATCAAGGTCATGAAAGCTGTTAACAATGATAGTGATGACTTACTAGAAATAAGGAAGGAAACCACAAAGACAGACAAGCATGAGAAACCCCTGTTGTGCATTTTATTATGCAGTACTCTGCCTTTCCCAAAGGCTGTGAGCCAAGGCCCGAGGAGGGTGCCAGGAAGAAGCACTTGTGTCAAAGGGAAGATTTGTGCTTCCTCACCTCCTTCGGGCTCACTGCCATTTGCCAAACTGTTTACACCTCAGGCCATTCCACCCTTCTTCATATTGCCTCTCCATCTCAAAGCTGGCCGCAGGAAGACTTGCATGGAGATTATCACTTTGACATGAAGACACACTCACTCTTCACTGCCCCTGTGCCTCTACCTCTTGCAAGCCACCCCTTCCCAGCTCCCTTGGGTGCCCTGGCCTTGACAGGGGACGTATCACGAACTGAAACTCACAGGCAGGAGATGAGTATATTGCTGCATGGAGAAATTCTTATCTTCCCTGCTTACCCTGGCCTCATCACCAAGCCGTTTCTCCAACAAAACAGCCTCACCAGTGCTAGTCTTAGCAGCACATAGGATGTATATGTCATCCACTCACTTCCGACCCTGCTTCAATGCAAGCAGTTTTAAATTTCAAAGTCATTTCAAGCAAGATACCTGCTGGTATGTTGATCTACCAGTATTATCAAGTAGCTATAAGTTATACACCTGGCCTCATCCTTAGAGATGAGTAAAACAGTCATCTATTTGCATAAATACTTGAAAGTAGATGAGAAATTAAAAAGAAATTTTGAATTTCTTTCCATCTCTCAGAGAAAGAGATGTGTATTTTGCTACGTGTTCTCCAGACAGTGATTAATTCTATGCATCTTTCCACTGAACTACCCCTACCTCGGGATACCAGCCTCAGGTGCCTACTTTAGTTGGTCAGTCTGAGCCTTCTTTTCCTCTATACTCATAATCTGAAAACCAACATTTCCTTATTGCTTCCACTGCCTCCTCCCTGTAGTGAATCTGTGAATCTCTTTTCTCCCTCTCTCTTGACTGCATTTAGTCTCCATCGCTTCACAACTAATAGCCATCTTCTTATTAAACCACAACTAATAAAGTCATCACAGATTTTATACAATTAAAAACTGTCACAATGACAGAAAGGAGAAAATCTTGATAAACTGTGCTAAATAATGCTATTAAAGGTGAATGTATTTGCTAAAAATAAACCACATAAGGCAAATATAACCAACAAAAATAATAACATCAAACTCAGAATTACCTTTTGTTTTTGGTAAGCTATTAAGTGTCTACGATGTTTTTCCTGAAATTCTGAAATCTAAAAATAAAATTTTTACAGTTATATCAACCAGTTATACAACCCTTTAAATCCTTATCCAACAAATAATTCCAAGTCCAAGTTATTATCACCGAGGTAGAAATTTTTATAAAGTTTATTTAAACTAATAAATTGCAAAGGCAGTTACCTGAATTGTTTCTTATTCATTAGTGCTATGCAAACACATAGAATTAATGGCAACATAAAATGTAATGTGCCTTACTGGCAATTAAAACTTGTCTTGTGAAATATCCTATTAATTAGATAAAATTGTTAGACTTGTTAGGTCTTGTGGTGATTTTAGTGAGCAGCACTTCTAGTCCAAATGAGGATCATAAAACACGACAGACTGAAAGTAAAAACATACATGCTAGGCAAAGAAAGAGCTTGAGGAACAAATTACAAAAGGTAAAAACTAATACTAATAAATTTACTAATAAATCTTTCTTCTTGTGTGCCAGGAATAAGAAACCTAACAGAGAATGTGTCAGGCAACAGGAAACACCCCAAGGGAAAAAAAAAAAAAAGAAGAAGGAAAGAAAGAAACCGCAGTGGAGCAGCTAATAGAAATAGTTACTTTAGTTTCACTGTAGAAGTGCCTGGGAAGTTCCCACTGGATCCTCATCAAAGGATCAGAACTGTCTTCAGAAGAACTCATGGAAGAAAAGGCCAAAAAGAATAGTAAAGATTCTATCTAGTAAGGATCTTGACTAGCATGGCTAACTCATTCCTAAAACAGAACAAATAGGTAAGCAAAACAAATTAGTTACAGATAGGTAGGGAAATGACCAGATATTTTCCACAAAGATCCACGCTTGGACTTTTGCTATTCAATGTGTTTATGCACAATCTTCAGAAAAGGCGAATAGCAAAGTTATTACTCAATAGCAAAGTTTGCTGACGATATTAAATTAAACAGGATAATGAAGTTAAGAGGATGTGGTGAAGACATTCAGAATGACTCTGAAAGTTTGAATGGCTGGGTGATAAAACCACATCTGAGAATTCAGTACAGATAATGTGAAGTCATGCACAGAGAGGAAAAAAACCTAAATTTACTCAGAAAATAATGGTCTCTGAGCCGACTGCTACCACTCTGGAACAAGTTCTTGGGCCTATAAGGGAGGCCCGAGGTTTCATAACATGAAAATGTCAGTTCAGCAGCCAGTGGTAGTCAAAAAAGAAAATCAAACCTTAGGAACAGGTTAAAAACGAATAGAATAGGCTTTATAGAAATAGAATAGGCATGATTATTCCACTGCAAAAACAAACGATGCTACCGTACTGAATATACTTATCTCAGAAAGGGAGCAGTAAATCTGGAAACAGTTCAGATTAATTAGAGCTATGGAACAGTTTCAGTATAAAAAACAACTGTGATTATGAGTCCTAATAGCTGGGGGAAAAAAAAAGGCACTTAAAGAGGGATATGATACCAGTTTAAAACTAATGAAAGCACAGATAGGATAAATGGGAATGCTTGCTTTGGGCATCCAGCACAGGATGCAAGAGCATCAAATAAAACTTGCAATAGCAGATTAAAGACAAGCAAAAGGAAATCGTTCTTCAAACTATGGACATCCTGTCCATAGTATGTGGCTGACACTAAATATTCAGACAACTTGATAATTACAGAAAAATACTGACCAAAAGCTTCTGAATGTCTTTTGACACTGGTGAAAGTTCTGAATATTCCTCAATACTTCCTACATTTTACACTTCAATATGTTTTCTAATCTTTATTTCAGTCTACAGAAAACTCATCTGAGTCTCTCAAGATCATGTCTCTTTTTTCATTTCTTTGGCACACTATAGAAGTTTGCATTCAAGTGTGACTGGTGTTATATTGCTCTCTGGATTTCACAGTTCACAGTTTACAGAATAAATACTGTTAATTACATATGCTGTTAAAAACTGTATGCCTGGCCAGAAGAGAGGAAGGCTGCTTGTTTACGTGTGTCAGCTGTGCACCCTAGGAAGAGAGGTGCTAAGGAAAGGGAACATGCTCAGCTTTGGAGAAATTTGTGGAGCACAGAGCAGAACAAATATGAATCCATAATCATTGCCACTGTCAATTAGGAGATTCCTACAATGAAGAAAGCAAATAATCTCCCCTGGTTTAATTTTCTGTTGATCAGCAAGTTTTCCACAAGGTCAAATAAGTATCGGGGCAAGGGAGATGAGAACATATCGTAAAGGTTGCTGGTAGACTGAGGGAGGACACATTAGTACAGACTGAGAGTTGTTTAAGCTGCCATACAAATGCTCAGCAAGGAGGATAAGGGCAAGTCCCACAACGAAGCAGCAAAAGTGAAGGATAAAAAGATCTAAAGGGAGCTTATAAGTTTATACACAGTTTTTGTTGTTGTTGTTGAACTCAGTAAGCTACAAAAATTGGTGGATTGGAAAATAAAACCAAAAGAAAGGATCCTCCTTGGAGGTTACAGTAAGGAGGGAGAAAATTTACCTTGAAATCTTTCATTGCATTTGTCTGAATAAGCAGACCTAAGGATTTTACAAGTTATATTGTTCTTATTTTTAATAAAGATGAGCTTTTGAGATTAGATGTCTTTAGTATTTGTAGACTTGCTCATTTTATTTAAAAAAAAAAAAAAGGCAGGATGAATATTCACCTCAGGGCTTTGGCCAGTTCAGACTTCTATTGCATAACTTTTTACTGCTATAATTAGCGTGCACTGCTTAGATCTGTTTAAGGTTCTGGTGGATCTAATATTTAATTACCTAATTTTGAAAGTGATTTTACATCATCAAAATAAACAGAATTAGCAGAATAATTTTTGTTTTCTTAAGAACTTTCAAACTCTGGAAGCAGAGTGAAGATAGAAACAGTCAAAAGATTTGCTTTTAAACATTCATTTTTTCCATGTAAATACATGGAAATAGTAGAAGTTGCTACTGTGCTACCGTGTCTTGTGCTGCACAGTTCTCTACTTTCTAACTGTTACTTTATTCAGTTAGAAAGTGTAAGAGATTACAGAGAACTGCACAGCACAAGAATACTGGCCTTGTCACTTCCTCCACCAGGAGAGAAAACTTCATTCTGATGCTTCCCTCCCCATCCTGCTTGATAAACAAGCACAAATACACTTTCAAGTATAATAAAATTATGCAATGGGTATGACTGTATTTACAGTGAAGAGAGAAACTCTGTATCTGTGTTCTGACTGATAGATGGAAGTTAAATCTCACGGACATTTTTTTGCACTCACCTGTGTTATTTCTTTTGAATATTGGTTGCATAGCACATCTAGTCCCATGAACAGTGATTGAATATCAGGATTTGTCTACCAAGAAAACAAAATATATCAAGGTTAGAGTTTTATTTGCAGACAATATTATATAAACCATTTGTGATGTGTTCCATTTATAGATTGATGCACGCAAGCCAAAAATCTCAATTTTAATAAACAGATGTTTTAAAATTTTAATAAAGAGACTGGCATGATGCATAGACTATAAAGAAGCTCAGTTTATTTAATGTGTATGTTAATCATCTGGAAGGCTTTATGCTTTCGTTTAAAAATATCACATACATATGTTCTTACTGCAACTAAGACAGTAGCAAACAGTTTCAAGAGACCATTCAGAGATCCATAACTAGGTTTCTGGCAGCTCCTTTGTTTTCTGGGATTCTGGCTTCTCCTCCTCCCTAGTCATTCTTCATTTTGGAATCACCTTTCATAATCCATTCAAAAAGAATAGAAACTATTGCAGACTAAGTGTCAGTTAAGATTAGAAGTACTAAATAGTCTCAAAAACTTAAAAAAATGAAAAAGGAAATAAAGGTGAATTATTTAAACAAATAAGTATACCATCTGCAGTGAAAGAGCATATCTTCTAGTCTGCTAAGAAGCATGAAGATGTATATTAACAATATCACACAGAAATCAGAAAGAATTGGATTTTGGTCTACTTGGAACTAGACAAATATACAGAGAAACACTCTTTTCCACTCCAGGAAGAGTATAACACTAACACAAGGTGAAGTATAAAACACTAGATAACAACTGTACTTGCCAAATTTATTTTCAACCTGTCCTTACATTCTATATTTTCAGTAACAGAAATGTTACATGTACCTGCCTTACATGTACAAAATATATATATATATTTGAGCAGGTGAAGATCCACAGATCTTTATATTTTTCCCCTTAATTCTATCAGCTACTTCCATGTTCTGTACAGCAATCCAGGTGAGCAAAGATTAAATGTATTGTGTGGTAGCTTTAGAACTGGGCATGTAGCTGCCAAATGCACTTTTGTTTATTGATGAGCTGCAGTTGCATTTCTGTCATCAGGAGAACTAACCTGAGTGTCCTCGGTTTCCTCAACTACCACATTTCATGGAATTTACAGGAGGAAATTAATTGTATTGGAAACTTCCTTGACATTAGCAAAAAGGGCTCAAAAATTACCAATGGGTAAAGTGGCATTCTGAGAAAGAGAAAAGCAGATGCACAGGCAGCACAGTCTAATCTATTGTCTATAGTATTTCAGTAAAGAAAGCAGAAGCGAGACAATAAAACTTCATCTAGAATAAACTTGCTCATAAAAATAAATTTGGCTTATTTAAAATAGGAGAAAAGCTCTAAAACCTATCTGGGTTCTAACAACGAAAGGACCTTGGCTTGAGTCACCATCAGCTATATCCTGCAAAAACAAAAACGTTCATTTGACAGCTTCATTGCTTATTTATAAACTCTTTAAAATAAAGGCTTGTAGAAATTTGCTTAGATTTTATTTGTCGCATAGAGGAGTAGCAGATGTTAACATGATATTCCAAAATAATGAACAGTGAGATTCTGATTCATCAGAACACTTCATCATCTTCTAATAAAAACCAAGAAGGGAGCATGAGATATATAAGGAAAATGTGAAGGTGACAAGCATGCATTACTATAAAGATGAGAATATTTAATGTGCAGATGTTGATTGCCCCAATATACAATTTAATAAGGATTTTTACTACATTTATAGGACATCCTCCTCACTGGGAATTTTGACATACCATCAAAGTTGTAAAGGATATAAGGTATTTTGCCTCTCAGGTTCCTGAATTATAGACTCATATTTTTTTTTATATATATATATGCATCTTTAATTATCATTCCAATCATTTTATCTGTTCTTAATCAAGCTTAAGTAATCATCATTAATGTCTTTTTTAAGGAATATGGTAATTGGCTTCCTTCCTGTCCTCCAGAGCACTGGCAGGTTCTAATGAAACATCTAATATATTTGTTAATAGCACAGCCGTTGCACTTTTTAATTCCTTCAGTATTTTTGAAGCAGATTAAGTTCTGTTGAAATACTGAAATTTAAGACTCATTGAACCTAGAAATTAGCCCTGCTCTGAGTACAGGATTGAAAAAGATGACCAGAGGCCCCTGACAACCTAAATTATTCTAGAACTGAAATTAAAAATTAAAACTTGCATCAAAGGGAGGCTGATAGTGAATATTTATGGAAAACTCTCCTTTAGACATTTCAAGAGTGTTTTGTTTTATTTTGTTACCATACTCTACAGGCCTTTTTATTTTGCTGGCATTTTATCATTTTGATGTAATTTCTTTTCTTTGTTGATAGCATTGTCTTTTTCATGTTATTTCAGTTCTGAAGGATTCTGTATTTACAAACATAAAATGTAAAGTATCAGTATTCTACTTTTTCACATATAGGATACACAGATAGAATTTTCTATAGTTAAGTATCCTTCGGCATAGCTTTAAAAATGTCTACAGAAATCGTGGTCACCATGATTCTTCTGGGTCACCGTTTCAGGGTTAGTCACAAACTGGCCTCCATTTCATATACAGGATTATTGTCTTATGGCCTTGCAGGATTATGGTTTAGCTGTACTGAGTGTTCTCTGTATTTTTTTTTTTTTTATCACTGTAAGGCAGGCATGCCTCTTGAATAGGCAGTCTGGGAAAATATATGTTTTCACAACCCATTTAGAAAATCAACTAAGAAGAAGATCATTTCCAGAGAAAAACGAAAAGTAAATCTTTCAAGTGATGTCTCAAGGAAGGGAACAGAGCTATTCATTCTCTAGTAAATGAAGACAAGAAATCCCCATCATATTCCAGATCACAGAATGCTTAAGGTTGGAAGGTACCCCTAGAGGTCATCTAGTCCAACCCCCCTGCACACGCAGGGTCACCTAGAGCACGTGGCACAGGACTGCGTCCAGGGGGGCCTTGAAGATCTTCAGAGAAGGAGACTCCACAACCTCTCCGGGCAGCCTGTTTCAGTGCTCTGTCACCCTCACAGGAAAGAAATTTTTCCTTAAGATCAACTCTTCATCACAACAGAAGGCAATAGCCATTACAAAAATAGTTTTGCTTGAGAGAAAATGGAAAAAGAAAAAAAAAAAAAAAAAGGAAGAAGAATACACTTGAAAATACTGATGGGCCAGGATGCAGATTTTTGCTTCAGTTCATTACATGAAATAATTCACTGAATCATCACTTTTTCTGATGCGCAAGTGCCAAAGTCAATACACATTTCCATACTGGTCATTGATATTACATAGTAGCCACTCATGTTTTTGAAAAACGTGGAGTGATTTTCAGTCCAGTAGAATATGAAGATTTACGTGTACTTAAATTTGAAGAACTCTAATAAAAGCTGCATAGTGCATACGTATGTAAGCCTACCAACCTATCATCAATAAATATTCATGTCACAGTTGGCAAACAAAAGGGAAGTATTTTGTAATGCAAATAATTTAGCTGCTAAGCAAACCACAGATTAGTGTAATACAAAATTACTAAAGCTTTCATTTACCTGTTTTGAAAGGAGCAACGTACGACAAGGAGTTCTACAGATCAAACATTCATCTTTTTTGCCTGTAGGATAAAGACACATTTAAAATATACATCAAACTGAACAGAAATTAAATATATTTTAATCAAATTTGATGTCTACACCTTTCTTTGGAGCCTGCAGAAGGAATCTGAGGTTTATATATGAAATGCAAATAAAGACGAATAAATAATTTGATTCTTCAAACATTAGCACACAGGAAAAAAATGTATGTGAATATCATCAAGCCTTAATCTTGAAAATAAGCATTCATGCAAATGATTTTATGAATATGATTAGTGTCATTGAATGCAGGTGACTTTTAGTTCCTTTGATTTAAATAGGACTACTTGTCTTCTTTAATTAAATGCATGCTTATGTGCACTAATGAGTTAGACCCAACCAGATTTATGACTATTTAGTTTGGGATTTAGTCTTGCTCTCTAGATAAAACATACGAAGACCTAAATTGAAAGAATTCATAATTTTGCCTTATGATTTTTTCCGGTAACGTCAATATTTTTATAAAAAAAAATCTCTTTTATTATTTGCAAAAGCATTAGCAATTATGCCCATAAAAATGTATATGAGTGCAATATTTATAAATTCTTTTACCATCGTTGATAATTATATATCTCCTTTCTAAGGATCAATGTTCATAAACATCTTTAAGGCAAAGTACATCGTAAAACTGATATTATCATTATTACTGAGATCACAGCAATAAGAAAAAAGAGTATCTCTCTTTTTTTTTTTTCTGCCAGATAATATTACCAGCACATAAAAAACTGTGCTTCATGTTCTTGGAGTCTTCAAGATGTGTTTATAGAGGCTGCACTTTACAAACCTCTCTCCTTAACAGCGAAAGTGTCAAAACTTTAAAGGTCAAGAAAAAAAAAAGACTTTTGAGTTTTGAAATATAGATGGAGCGCTTATGATTTGTGTCCTGATGAAAGACAGAGCTTTTATCATGACCTCGAAGGGAAAAGACTGGTGTTTGCCTCCTATTTGGTCTTTTGAAAAGAAGCCTCCTCATCTCCCTATGTCTTTTCCACAAATCCTTACCTAAGACCACGCGAGGCCTGGCCTGTGGCTCAGGTATCACGTCCAACACACATGAGTCTCAAAACATCCCCTCAAATCTCCCTAAGGCTGTCACAATTTCTCCAGTTGTTTCAGTGGCAACAGGAGTAAGATTTAACATATTTGAAGATTGTGGACAAGATCTACACCCTATAACATGAATTCATAATGAAAGTTATTCTTTAACCAGTGAAAATCACTTTCTAACTACCTTTCCTGGATGAGTGAGACCACCATTTTATCTTTCTTTTACAATGCAAACATACATTTAAGTATTACCTGTAATTGTAATTAATACATTCCAAGTATAATACATGTAATACATTTGTTGATGTATACATGTAATATTGTAGTTGAATCTAGATACATGTAGATACATGTAGATTCAACTTTTATTAAATCCTTCAGTTTGGGGGTCTAACGGCTTATTTGCAAAACCAGATTGAACTAGCAGAATTCAGGTGAAAACAGACTCAGGCTATTTTTTATAGTTGAGAGAAAATCATTAGAAAAAAAAATAAAAGGTTCATAAATAGCACTTGAGTAATGAAAATGCTCAGGCCTCTCATTTGCCCACAGCGAGGCCGAGCTGCTAATGCGTCATGTGAACTTGTGCATGGCCAGTGCCCCAGAGATGCAGTTAGGTCTATTTAGTGCCCCAAATCCCCACAGACGAGTGGCTGCGGGGTGCAGGCTTCATCCTGAGGACCACGGGGATGCCCCAAACCAGAGCGGTGCTGCCCGTGGCGGCATTGGCCATTACCTTTCTGGAGGCAAAGCTCACACATGACATGGCCGCAGCTGGTGAGGCTGAAGCGCGGGGCGGCCTGGCTGGGCTCGCAGAAGCAGGCATTGCAGAAGACCGGCACGGCCATGGAGAAGGGCCTAGCGGGCAGCTGAGGCCGACAGCGGCCCCTCCTTGCCGCCCCACCAGCCCAGGGCCAGGCCTACAGGCCGGTGGCCTCCGCCATGTCCCTTCCCCAAGGAGACCCTGAGGCGGCACCACTCCCCACCCCACCCCGGCCTGTGGGGCTGGGGAGGGCAACAGAATTTGCCCCTTGGAGGGGCGCAGGAGGGTCTCCTGCCTCTCACCACACACCCAACAAGCTTCCCCACATCTAAATTTTTTATATATATTTATGTTTAATGATCCTTCCTGGTGAAGAAGGAAGCAGTCTCCAGTTGCAGGCAGGGCTGGCACTCTTGGGGCTAGTGTGAGGTGAGGCCTTGTTAATATCGAAAACTCCAATAGTCCCTTCACAAACGCTCGTGCGAGGCTTGCCCCTTTGGTTTTAAAGCTTAGGTGCATCGTTCAGTAAAGTCTACAGTTGAAATATGTAGGGGCCTTAGGCTTTCAGTAAGCAGCAGCTAAGGCCTGAATCACAACCCCATGTCAAATTTCCTCTTGGACATAATTTCTTACATGGTTTTGACTCGTCTTTCTTGTCTTTTTCCCACCACCAGAACTTATACATGTTATAAGACAGTGCTCTATGAAAGTGAACTGACTACCCCTAATCTACCCAGTGTTTCATGTAATGACATTAAAATCTCCAAAATTTTAAATACAGAACGCACATCGGTGAGCAGCAGCAGTTACAAGACATTATTTTGATTCCTTTAGTCCACAGAATGTTGTTTTTTGTCTCCATATCAGCTTTGTGGATTCTCACCTACTCACAGATGTATTTTCATTTCCATGCTGTAAAAGTAAATGAACTTAGCAGGGAAGGTCACTTCTTTGCTAATGAAAACAAAAGATGAGAGGATAGAAAAAAAAAACAGAAAGCAAGCATCATCTTTAAAACAATAATTGTGCCACAAGAATTCCACTGTTCTCTAGAAGACCTTTATTTTAAGAAAATCCTTTTACATGCTAACTGAGTGCTAAAATGGATCATCCTATAGCTCCAACAAGGTCAGATTAATCTTAAATTGCAAACCCTCTTACACTACTGCTGCGGAGATGAGCTCATTATCTGAGATTTTAACCACAGTTCTGGCACAGGGTTTGCACTTGTATGATGCTATAGCTACTCTGCTAGTTGTACATAAGATAGCTAAATTAAAGCAAATCAGGTATATCCATTGAAGCAGCAATAAGAGAAAGGGAGATATACAATTAAGCCATAAACTAGTAAGTTCCTTAAACACTCAGTACTATAGTTACTGAATAATTAAAATGAAAATAATTCTACACAGAAACAGAATGAAGAATTTAGCATAGGAATAACTTAAAATCAGACTTGATGTTTAGAAATAAACCTGTGATCCCGTTTACTTTGACATACTTCATAAAGACCATAATTTACATAAAGAACTGTGGGAGAGGGCAAATCTCCACTCTGTAGCATAGTGGTTAGGGCTCATCTTCAAGTAATTATTCATGCAGGTCTCTCCCTCTTTCACAGTAATTGTTGCAACCGCTGATCATAATGTAACCATAATATAACCAAGCGTGTGCTCCACTGCCACCCACAACAAGGAATATTTTAAAAGAAAACGCTCACAATTATATTTGATGAAAACTAGGTGTTACACATACAGAAGAGCATTAGGACACTCTCAAATTAAGCTCCACAAGAGATATAGGTGTTTCTCTGCCTAGCATCCAAATCCTGATTAGGCTGAAGGGCAGTTTGTGCCAGTACAGAACCAGATGTCTGAGTAGGGTACTTTAAAATATAGGAAATATTTTTTAGATTTCAATATTAAATATAACAATCCTCAGCTGAACTTAAATCCTACCTTAATCACTGACTTCTTGTTCTTCTAGATATAACTTTGCATCTATAGAGGTGATAAAAGATGGGGTACTGATAGGGAAGGCACAGGCAGAATAAAGGCAGGTGTAGAAGATAAAAAGCATGAGAGTTATATGAAATCTTTTTCTTTCTTTCTTTTTTCCACAGATAGAAACATTTTTACACACTAGATTTTCTCTGAATGTTTTTTATTCTAGAGGTTATTTTCCTAATTCTAAGATAGTTCAGTATCTAAAGAATGCAAATATAATCTATTTGTATTTAATGTCTTATTAATTCAAACGTAAGACTTTACATGATGTCCAATTCTTGAATCTATGCATTTACTTTATAATATTTAAACAAGCTTCTTAGCTATAAAGAAATCTTTGAGAGATTTGATTTGCCAGACGCCAACGGAGATAAGGATTATTGTCTGCACGATAGCCCACCACAAAATATTGCTGTTGGTTTCTTCACTTGTCTTCCGAAACTTCTCTTCACGTTTCTGATAAGAGAGAAAAAGAACAGTTATCCCTTATCACTGTTTATTTCATGCTGCTAGCCTAGTAACTAAACATCCATCCCTCCAGTATATGGCAGTGAACAAAAACTCTTCACAATGATAAAAATGAAAGTTTATTCTTCTTATCCATAAGGATGTCAGATTTTCTTATCAAAACTCATTTTTTTTGTCAAATATCAATAGTTTTTTTAATGAGTTAATGAAAAGTAATACTGTAATTAAACAAATAATAAACCTTATAATACTTTATAAAATAAATAACCCGCTGTACATAATTTTTTCATAGTTCAATTAGAGAATACACACTCTTTTTCTCTTTCATAGTTTTGGTCTTTGGATATGTGATGAATTTGCTCAAGCAGATGTCCCAGTTTAAATCTAACATCATTCACTTTGTCTTTGGCTTGAGCAACGGCTTCATCCAGAAAATGTTCTCCAACTCTGATGTCTAAATGGATACGCTGTGAACATAAAAAATATTCTTATGACTGTATATCTTCTGTGTTTCAAATTCCTTAGGGAAAACGAAACAAAACAAAGTTTTCATTTAAGCTTACTATGGGAAAACAGTTTTAATTACTTATAGGAATCCTTACAAAAATTAGAAGCGTCTGTATCTTTAAAGTATCTTTATTTTAAATTTAATCATACAAATTTAAAATCTTCACTCATATGAGGACATTGTTCTATACTAATATTGAATCAACCAGTATGAAATTATTTTCTGTTCCTTGACATGACTAGTTAAAAAAAAAATAATAAAAATTATTAGAACTGCACATTGCACTTCACATTCCACTCCAATATTGCAGAAATCACATTCTTCAATGCTGCTCCAGGAACCTTTTCATAAATGTGGTTGTAGATTTCCTCTGCCTAACATTAGGAATTTGAGACTGGAAGGAGACCAGTGGAATTAAATGCGATGTTCTCGTAGATGTTTAAGTGGAACAATCCATAAGGTATCTATTTCATGTCTCCACACACTTTATCAGGTATGAAATGCTCTCCAGTATCCAGCTGCAATTGTAAGATCTCAATTGTAAGATCTATAGCAAATATGTCCCAAAACCTCAGGATTAGAGACACATAGGAGAAGAACAGAAGAATATGACTTGCGAAATAATAAAACTGATTTGAGTATGACTAACAATTTATTTCTGCATATATAAATATAGAATGCAATATTTTCCTCTTTAATTTCTGCGTTGTTAAACTGAACAAATAATGCTTTTTAATGCTAGCTATTGTTCTTCTCCTCTGCATTTTTAAATAGAGCGAGTGTAACTATATATGGAATTCTAAAAAATATCTAGCTAATGATTTGTAAAATGGCATTTATACATCCCCCATCACCATCCATACTAAATAAAAATGTTCTGGTATATGCTCAGAATTATACTGATGATTTGTAGTTATATAGGACCAATCAATACAGCTTTATCTCCCTTATTCTCTCTGGTTGATGTACTTAAAAAAATATTAGTAGAACGTAAGTGCCTCTGCAATGTATATGATTAAATTTCAACTCATTTTCACAAGAACAGCCCATAAAAACACCTTATTTTTTTTCTGTATAACGGTACCTCTACAGTACAGTTTGTATTTTTTTCAGTTCTCTGTCATCTACATACTTCCAAAGTGTGCATCTAGGATGATATTTACTTTAACTCACTTTATAGTTTTATAAGATGTTTATATCTAGGTGGTTATCTATCCCATTTTAATAGTAACTGATAGAAAAGACAAGTTTTTCTTATGCATTTTAGTCAATTACCTTTTGAGAAGAGGCCAATAGATAACACTTTAATACAGTGTTTATGAAATTGTTTGCTGAAATAGAAGTAGATTAAAGTAATGATATCACCTTTGATGGCTTTTGTTTTTCAAAATCTGCTTTAAAACCAGCTTCATGGCAATATCAAAAATGATAATATATTCTTAATTTGAATATCTTTCAAAAATTTAAATGCCAGATTTTCTGAAAGAATTCAAAGATACCAGAATCTTTGGTATGGAGTAGGATAAGTGGTTTTGCAACAGTATTTGTCTTAGTCAATCTTATGTATCTATCTTTCTTGAATCAGATGGCTGTTGGCATTGATAAGAATCTTTTCATATTGAAAGCACTGCACAAGTATTAAATCAATCTATAGTTATTAGTTTTGCCTCCTTAATCTTGATTTCTTAGATATTAGAACAGAGTCTATTTATCTCTTCATCTGCATAGCTCTAGATTTATCTTCTGCAACCACTGGGTTTCTAATCTCATTTTTTTAAACACTGCAGTTTGTATACAGTAGATACTATTACAAAGAAGAATAAAGAATTACACTTACCAGTTTACTTCCTGCAAATGCCATAAGTCTTGTGGAGTTAGACTGTAAACAAATAATATGTTCCCCAGACATATAGGATGTAAAAGAAAATGTTGCTTGTGGCCCATACAGTTTTTTCAGTAGTACCTGTAATTCAGTTATTATGTATATTGACTATTTATTTAAGTTCTATGTATAAAACAACAAAAAACCTGTGTATTTCATGTAAAAATGCTAAATTGATTTCTCTCTTGAAAAATGTAAATTAATCTGAATTTCTGAATAGA